CTGAGTTTCCACTGCAGGGGCTGCAGGTTCAATGCCTGGTCAGGGAACTAAGATTTTTATCTCACAAGCTGCATGGTGCAGTCAAAAAGTTAACAGGAAAAGAAAAGAAAAAGTCTAATAATACCAAGTGCTAATTGTCTATAAAATCAGGAAAGTGAGACTACCAAACATGAAAACGTAAATTGGCCCCATGGTTCAGATGGTAAAGAATCTACCTGTAATGCAGGAGACCCAGGTTCGATCCCTGGGTCAGAAAGATTCCCCTGAAAATGGGAATGGCAACCCACTCCAGTATTTTTACCTGGGAAATTTCATGGACTGTGGAGCCTGGTGGGCTACAGTCCATGGGGTCACAAAGAGTCGGACATGACTGAATGACTAAGTACAGCACAGCACACTGATATACCTTGATGAAGCTTTTGCCATAAGCACCAAGAGACAAGCAGCCTCCTGGCAGCATGCTTCTTTGTAGCAAAAACTTAGAAATATTCTAAATGTCCATTATTGCAGGAATAGGTACAAATCATATGATGAAATGCTATACAGCTGTTAAGATGAATAAACTAGATCCTTATAACAGCATGAATCAATCTTCAAAACATAACACTGAGTAAAAATTCTAAAACACATAAAGCAACACTACATTTTGTCTATGAATAAAAACATAGAGGAGAGGAAATTTTAAAATCATGGACACACACCAAAATCATGACTGAGATTGTGTCTGGGGAAAGAGGTAAATGAGAATAATGAAGAGAAAAAAAAACAATAACCTTAGGCATATTATGGTTTTTATTTTATTTTAAAATAAAAGAAGCAAAGATGAAAAATCATAAATATTTATTGAGGTGAATTCTAAGCTTACTGTACTATATATTGTTTTATATAGTGTAGCTTTTGTAATATACTCAGAATATATAGACTCTGATGCTTGTTATACTATTCTTTGCATTTTTTTAAATTTATGAAATAATCGATTCTTTCTCTTCCTATCTACCCACCCCCACCCAAAGTTACAATTACGCAAACAGGAAAGTCATACAAACAGGAAGAGCCCAGAGGATACACCCACAGCAGCAGAAACCGCAAAGCTAGTTGAAGGCACTCGGAGAGCCTGCTTTAAACAGTTAAACAGAAACCATGCTTCCAAACAAATGTCTTGAACCTGAATTAATGAACGATCACCCTTCCTAGAGCTACTTGACAATGCCAGTAGCTGAGTTAAGTCCTACAGGGGACTCCCTTGGTGGTCCAATGGCTAAGACGCTGTGCTCCCAGTACAGGGGGCCTGGGTTGGATCCTTGGTCAGGGAGCTAAGATCCCGAAAGCCGCAACTAAGACCCACTGCAGTCAAGTAAATAAATAAATATAAAGAAGACGTTCTGTGGATCTGGGTTCAACACTAACTTTGTCAGCTAGCTGCTATGTGACCTCTGGTAAAATTCTAAACAGTCTAGGCCTGAGTTTCCTTACATTAAACTGAAACTGAAACTTAGTCACTCAGTCGCGTCTGACTCTGCGACCCCGTGGCCTGCAGCCCTGCCGTCTCCTCTGCCATGTGATTCTCCAGGCAAAGATACTGGAGTGGGTTGACATTTTCTTCTCCAGGGGATCTTCCAGGGACCAGGGATCAAACCTGGGCCTCCTGCATTGCAGGCAGATTTTTACCATTTGAGCCACCAGGGAAGTTCCTAACATTTAGATGGAGTTCTCAACACCTACCTCAACAGTCAAGACAGAGACTGACTTGGATACCATCTCTGAAGTGCTTATCATAGTGCTTGGTACACAGTTATTTGTTCAACACATGGTGGTTATTACTTGTGTCAGAACTGAGATTACAACTCCACGTGTGGGTGTCTGTTTCAGCAAAGCAAAAAGAAATATCCACAACAAAGGACCTAAACTATTTTCCAACAATGAAGCAAGCCCTGTCATCAACTAAAATGTCTAACTAAAACCAATTTAAAAGAAAAGACTAGAACTGCAGAATCTATAGGAGAAATCCAATCTATAAGTAATAGTAATACAGAGGAAAATTTATAAGTCCAGCAAAAGGCAAAAAGTCCTCATACAAAAAGAGAACAGTTACTGAACTGAATGGTAATCTCAACATGGGCATCAATTGGTCAACAGAGCCCATCACCCTGTAATCCACAAAGAAAGCCCTTAGACTCCCTTGTGTCAAACCCATCTTTTAGAAGATGAGGTTTTATAAGTTGCTAAGAAAAGGAGAATATTTTAAAACATACTTGGGGGGAATAATATATTTTCTAGGCTTTGAGGCAAAAGAAAAAGAATTCTTCCAATGGTCCTTATTATGAGGACATGATTTACATTAATGGATTAAAATTTTTTAATCCTCAAACTCAAAAATTATATAAAAACAATTTTAAAATATGACTAGACCAATACATTTAAGAAATAAGACTTTATCACTCAACTAAAAAAAGAAAAAAGACTTTCATTAATTCTCCAGAAAATCCACCCAAACTTGCATAAACTAAATTATTCCTACAGATCCTATTATTTATATAGAACATACTATTCCCCCTTTAAAATATAGAAAAGTGCAGGTCAACTAACCAACTTATGAACTTAAAACAGTTTTGATGTTTCAAACAACAAAGAATAATAATTATAAAGCAACAAACTAAAGTTTCTAAATGTACTGTGTGTAATAAAACTAAGTTTCAAATATATTAGATATATTGCAACATTAAAATGATTATGGATTATGTCTGCACAGGTTTTATTTCCTGTAAATGCAAGTCTGAATATATGGCAGTCAGAGAAATTTGAAAACCAACTGGATATTTTATGATATTAAAATTATAATTGTAGAAAAAGTGATCACTACACTGCAGTTATACTAATAGAGTCCTTCATCTTTGGAGATACTAGAGTATTTACAAAGCAACTAAACTCTGGCATTTGGCTTAAAATAACACGTTGGTGTTGGGAATAGGGATGGGAAGGGGAGAATAAATGAGCCAAGACTGGCCTTACTTTGAAAACTGTTGAAACTATGGGTACATAGGGGTTCATCATTTTCTCTTCTCTACTTTAGTGTATGTTGAAAATACTCTTAGTAAAAAAAAAATTGTAAAGACAAGAAGCCTATGTATTTAAAACTAAAAGCCAGCACTAACTGGTGAAGAATTTTTCACAACAAAACAGAAAAGACCACAAAGCCTTTCATCCCTGTTGTTATTTGGTAGAGCACTAGAATGTTCCTTCCTTTTTTTTTTTTTTTTTTTTTTGTCTTAATCTCTACCCTCTTTTCCCCCTTCCTGGTTTGTCTGTTGCTGACTTAGATGACTTCTTCCAAACTCATACCTTCCTAAAACTCAGAAACAGACTTTCAAATTGTTGCCTCGCAACATAATAAATATTTCTTTTTAAAAACAATGGAGTGTATTTTGAAAATTCTGCTCAACGAATTTAAAAAAAAAATCATCTAATCTCATCCATTTACAACCTCTGTCTTGTATGTTTTATCACACAAATATTGGGAGTGAGAAATCTAAAGTTCTTGGTGAGTATGTGCGGGCGGAAAAGTTTGAAGACCACCATTTTGGACACTAAGACACCACTAAAAGCTTTTAAGGAGGCAGGAAGTGTGACAAGTGCCACATCAAGAAAAACAATTTAGCGGAAGTACATACAGATAGGAAAGATGGGGAGAAATAATGTGGTCAGAGACAATCATTCACTAATTCAACGAGACATTCATTTAGAAGTGAGATTGAAAAGTAGGAAATAGATAGGGAAGGCTCAGGCGTGCTCAATGAAAGGACTTACTGATTAATGGTTAAGGTAAGGTGAAGGAGGAAGAAGAGGTTGAGGGGAGTGTCAGAAACCCTGCCCTGGGGGAAAGAAAATGGATTTGACGCAGATTGGCAGGATATTTAGAGGCAGATGCTTCTCAGACACCTGGAGATGAAGAACCTAGAGTCTACTGGGCCTGGGGAAGTACACAAGGGAGCCATCTTTGTAGATGTGACAAGGGAACCCAATGGAGTCAGGGCTTTCGGGGAGAGAAAAATGGAAGACAGGTCCATCAAAAGGGTTAACCCAAACGTTGGGGCACACCTATATTCAGGAGACAAAACAAGTGAAAACACAGAAGCGGCTGCCAGGGAGATACTGCAGCACTGTCTCAGAGTGATCCCAAGAGTGGTTTGGTCAAAGGGTGGTTGGCCAAAAGTGCAGGCCACCGTGGCGACCACGAGGAAGGATCTCTGAGCGGACCCATCTTTGGTAACCTTGAATAGGACCATTCTGGTCCGGTGGAGCGGTCTAGACTCAGATATCAGAAAAGGGATAATGAGAGAGGGGAGAGAGGCGGCTAGGAAAGGAGGGCCAACGCAGAGCCCCTCAGGCGCCGAGATGGAGACAGATCCCGCGGGTCAGGCGCGCCTGGGGGTCTGGGAAGACCACACAAAAACCCCTAGCGGGTAAGGTAGTCGAGAGGGAGAGACTCTAGTTTCCAGAGAGTGGAGGCATTTTCGGTTGTTCCCAAACCTGCCTCCAAACCCTCTAGAAACTGGCATGCCCCAAAGAATTTTATTCTTGCGAGAAAAGCGAAAGTGTTAGCTGCTCAGTCGTGTCCGACTCTTTGCGACTCCGTGGACTGTAGCCCCCCCAGGCTCCTGTGGCAGGAGTACTGGAGGGGGTTGCCATGCCCTCCTCCAGGGGATCTTCCCGACCCAGGGATCAAACCCGGGTTATCCGCATTGTAGACAGACCCTTATGGAAGTGGGAAGTTCATCGTTAGTCTTCACCGGGGCAATAGCGCCCTGGCCATATTGGAGGAAAGGTCCGACGGCGCTGGAAGGGAGGAAACCTCCAAGAGAAGAAGCGCGGGCTCCGCGAGAAGCTAGGCGGAGGCATAGGACGCGCGGTCCCAGCGAGGGCGCGTCCCTCCCAGAGCAGCAGCGGCGGTCCTCCCAGAGCCGGGACCCGGGGGAGCCGCCCCTCCCGCTCAGGGCACTCACCGCTCCGACTGCGAATAGTGGCACCGGCCCAGCAGGTTGAGCTTGCAGAGATGCAGGTTCCCGCAGGGTTTGTTGCAGTACTTGCGACGGCAGACCCGGGCTCGAGTGGTGGCCACCACGGACCGGGTGACCCCTTCCTTGCCGCCCATCTCCAACACCACGAAGCGGTCGGGCCCGGCCTCCTCCAGCACCTCGCAGAGCTGCGCCTCGGAGAGCTGCATCTCGCGGAGCAGCTCTTCCAGGGCCATGCGCCCCCCGTGGGCGCACAGGATCTTGGTGATGAAGCTGCACACCCCGGGGTCCGCCATGGCGCGCTGCACCGGCCTGACCTCCGCGCGGGACTCGGCTGCTGGGAGAATCGAAACTTACTAGAGTCCCCGGGGCGGGGGGCGGGCGCCGCGCGGGCTGGGCGCGCCCGGGGACAGCGAGCGAGCGTGCGCTGTCCGCCGCCCGTTAGCCGAGCCGGGCGGTTTCGGTTTCCGAAAAGCTCGGGTCGAGAGGCCAGATCTCACCGACCCCGGTCCCTGCGTCAGAGCCAAAGCCGATCGCGACGGCCACCTCGTGCAAAGGGAGCGAACAAGTGCGAGCTTGTCTGCAGGCGACCGTGGAGACCACCGGACGGCTGCCCCCTCGTCTCCAGTCTCCTGGAGGCTCAGATTCCCCAGCTGGGCGCCGAGAGGCTTCTTCGGAAAGAGAAACTAAAAGAGGGGGAAAAAATAACCTCTGGGCTCTGGCAGAGCTTTTATAAGACAGACGAAGCGGCGAATGACGCGAGTCTTGGGAGCCCTCTTGAGGAGCCCTCTGTTCTCTACCCCACCCATCCCCGGAAAGAACGGACCCAAGAGAGCGCCTGCTCTGAGCCCTGCGCCCTGCCTCCGGTATTAGTTGTTTGTTGTTCAGTTGCTCAGTCCGATTCTTTGTGACCACATGGGCTGCAGCCGGCCAGGCTTCCCTGTCCTTCACCATCTCCTGGAGTTTGCCCAAACTCATGTCCATCGAGTCGGTGATGCCATCCAACCATCTCGTCCTCTGTCTCCTCTTTCTCCTCCTGCCTTCAATCTTTCCCAGCATGAGGGTCTTTTCCAGTGAGTCATCTCTTCTCATCAAGTGGCCAGAATATTGGAGCTTTAGCTTCAGCATCAGTGAATCTTCACAGCTCCACGAATTAGATAGTATTATCCTCACTCTCCTTCAGGAAGTAATCTGAGCAAAGAGCCGACAAGCTGGAGCCGGAATACCACCCAAGGTTTCCCACATCTGCCCCCAGACTCCAGATTGAGGTCTGCCTGGCCGGGACCGCTGGGTACTGTCTCTGTCAGCACCGGACCTTCTCCAAGAGCAATCATTATTGCTCTTCAGCTTTTTCACCTTCTTTTGAGCTCTTTGAAGAACCACTTCTTGAGGCATTCTTGCCTGTCTAGGTTAACAGAGGTGCCCCAGACACGGCTTAATCTCAGATAGCAATTAGTCACAGCCTGGCATGCTTAGACAGATCCCAGGACTTCAGCTAGATTTCCTCTCTTTGAATATTTGGACACAATCTTTTCCGCTTTACTGGGGACTCCCTTAAGCCCCCAGAGTTGGTATAAAAGAAAAAAGTGAAAGTGAAAGTTGCTCAGTATGTCTGACTCTTGGGGACCCCATGGACTGTAGCCCACCAGGCTCGTCTGTCCATGGAATTCTCCAGGCCAGAATACTGGAGTGGGTAGCTGTTCCCTTCTCCAAGAGATCTTCCCAACCCAGGGATCGAACCCAGGTCTCCCATATTTGCAGGCAGAGTCTTTACCATCTGAACCACCGTATAAAGATTAAAGTGGAAACGTTTGAGCTACAGAGGATGCAGAAAGAAATTTATCTGAATTTCTCTTAATATGAGTAAAGCAAAGGCCTCCAGAAAATGCAGCTACCTGTCACCGCCTTCCAACGGAGTTTCCTGCTAACTCAATTGCCCTGGAGACAGAATATCCATTGCAGTTAACATCAAAAAGCCAGATAGAACCTTCCCTACCCCTCTACTGAAGTCCTAAAAAAGAAACCCTTTTGTTAATTGAGATATATAAAGTGATTTCAGGCAATTCCAAGAGGTTTCCATTATTGGAAGCTTCCCCTCACCAATGCTAAATAAATCTCTTTTCTCTTTTTATTTTTTTTCCTTTCTCTTTTTATTTTTATTTATTTTTTTTTCCTTTCTCTTTTTAATCTGTCTACTGCCAGTTAATTTGCAAGACCCAATGACTGGATTCAAATTGGAATAGGAAAAAGGTTTTCCTCCCAACACTCCTGAGTGGAACGTCATTGCTCAGACAAGTCATAAAGCTTTTTTTTAATGACAGAGCTCAGTAGTCAAACTAAAAATTCTTCAAAATGATGAATGGGCATTCTCAGGTTGGTAATTCATGACTGATGAACAGTGTCTTAGAAATACAGTACTTTGGTATGAAAACCAGCAAAATCTGGGTTCCTTTTAGCTGTTACTATATAGTTGCCTTTGATTCACTTGGCCTGATTTATGGTCTGACAGGTTCCCACAGACTGGGTTTTCTTTTTTCAAGTTTATATTGGAGTATAGTTGGTTTACAATGTTATACTAGTTTTAGGTGTACACCGAAGTGAATCAGTTATACATACATCCACTCTTTTTTAGATTCTTTTCCATATAGGCCATTATAGAGTATTAAGTAGAGTTACCTATGCTATACAGTAGGTCTTTATGATGCTTTTGAACTGTGGTGTTGGAGAAGTCCCTTGGACTTCTCAAGTCCCTTGAGAGTCCCTTGGACTGCAAGGAGATCCAACCAGTCCATCCTAAAGGAGATCAGTCCTGGGTGTTCACTGGAAGGACTGATACCGAAGCTGAAACTCCAATACTTTGGCCACCTAATGCGAAGAGCTGGCTCATTTGAAAAGACCCTGATGCTGGGAGCGATTGAGGGCAGGAGGAGAAGGGGATGACAGAGGATGAGACAGCTGGATGGCATCACTGACTCGATGGGCATGAGTTTGAATAAACTCCGGGAGTTGGTGATGGACAGGGAGGCCTGGCATGCTGCGATTCATGGGGTCGCAAAGAGTTGGACACGACTGAGCGACTGAGCTGAACTGGACTGATGTTATATACAGTAGTGTGTATATGTCAATTCCAATCCTCCAATTTATCCCTCCGCCCTTTACCCCCTGATAACTATAAGTTTGTTTTCTACATCAGTAACTCTATTTCTGTTTTGTAGATAAGTTCATTTGTACCTTTTTTTTTATGATTCCACATTTATATATGTATATATATATATATTTATATATATATCATATACATTTATATATGATTATTCATATGGACTGGGCTTTCGATATGAAATCAGATCAATTCACCACAATATCTTCCCTGTGGCTCTTACTTTACTTAGTCACTCTGAATGTTTCAAAGAAGAATCAATTCTGACTCCATGTTGGAACTGATTCTTTGACTTGCTTTTCATTGCTGTTGTGATTATAATCATACATAATGGCCTGCCTCAATGGACCCTGCCCCTGTGCCTGACTGTTAAACTAAAATGTCTTTGTTCAGCTGATAGAGAGATAATCCGACCCTGCCCAGCTGTGAAAAGGAGATTAACACATCCCTTCCAAAGGCTGGCCAGTCCCATTCCTGGAGATGTTGTCCAAGACTGACGGTCTTTTTTATTTTACCTCCTCACCACCTCTCCTCCTCGGTTCTGCCTCCTGATTTCAGTTCCCCAATGCTTCTCTCTATAGTTCTATAAAAGAACTTGGCATCAAGACCCCAAGAAGAAGATTATTTTGAGACGTTAGTCTGCCATCTTCTCAGATGGCTCTCAGAACACAGTCATATTCCTTGCCTCAACACCTGTCTTTTGGATTCATTGGCCTGTCACGCGAGGAGCAGAGCGAGCTTGGACTCAGTAACATGAACATATAGAACTTTAAGAGAATCTTTGCTCTAGTCAAGGACCTTATGTTTGGGAAGAGAGGAGCAGACATTAAAGCAAAAGGGGATCCATGCTTAAATGCTGACACAGCTACACAGGAGACTGGAGGAGAGGAGAGTGTGGTGAGAGTGGTTGGGAGCAGAGATAGAAAATTCCCCTCAGTTTGAGGATCTGAGAGACAAATGTAAGGGGCTGTGGAGAGGAAAAAAGCAGAGATTTAGGAAACTTGTGTTGTCACAGATTGGGTTCTCCAGGAAGCCGACACTGTTATGGAGTTAAGGATACAGAAGATTGCTGGGAGGGTAACACCAACGAAAGTCAAGGGAAGAAGCCAAGATTGGTCTCTGGGAGCCATCAGGCTTCATTGTAGACATCACCAAGTCTCTGCCAGTCCAACTGGAGCAGGAGACTAGGCTCAGCAGGTCGCCTAGGCCCTCATACCACTGTCCCAGACGGCCATTGCAGGGGCCACTGGAGAAGTGCGTGACTTCAGCTCAGCCCCTGAGGTGAAGCCTGAAAGAGTGGAAGCTGGGAGCTCTCAGCTAAACACACTCCTTGCAGCCAGGGAGCAAGTCCTGGCTTGAAGGGACATCTGAGTGATGCCATGTCCACCCTTTGTGACATGTGGATCTTGTTTCTCCACCTGTAGTCAGGGAACAGCTTCTTCAGGGCTCACTGGGCCACTCTTCCTGAAAAGAAACTTAGAAGAGGGAAGTTAATGAAGGGCTTCCCTGGTGGGTCAGATGGTGAAGAATCTGCCTGCAGTGCAGGAGACCTGGGTTGGATCCCTGAGTTGGGACAATCCCCTGGAAAAGGGCTTGGGCCCACTCCAGCGTTCTTGCCTGGAGAAATCAATGGACGGAGGAGCCTGGTGGGCTCCAAGTCCACAGGGAGGCAAAGAGTCAGACAGGACTGAAGTGACTGAGTACACACAATAGCTTCTGCCACTGCAGCTGGTTGTAGAAACCACCACTGGCCCTCATCATGTCCCTCCACCACATCCATTTCTTTTTCTTTTTACTTATTTTATTGAATGTAGTTGATTTATAATGTGCTAGTTTTAGGTGTACAGCAAAGTGATTTGGCTATAAATATGTATATATCTATATTCTTTTTTGATTCTGTTATTATTTGTTACAAGATATAAAATATAGTTTCCTGTGCTGTGCAGTAAATCCTTGTTGTTTATTTTACATATAGTAGTGTACATCTATTAATCTCATACTCTCCATTTATCCCTCCCTCCCTTCCCACATGGGTAACCATAAGTTTATTTTCAATGTCTGTGAATCTGTTTCTGTTTTGTAAGTAAGATCATTTATACTCTTTTTTAGATTCCACATGTAAGTGATATTACATCATATTTGTCTTTCTCTGACTTACTTAGTATGATAATGTCTAAGTCCATTCGTGTTGCTGCAAATGGATTTATTTCATCTTTTTATTCCATTGTATGTCCGACGTCTACTTTATCCATTCATTTGTTGATGGACACTAAGGTTGCTTCCATGTCTTAGCTACTGTAAATAGTGCTGCTAAGAACATTGGGGTGCATGTATCTTTTCAAATTAGAACTTTCATCTTTTCTAGATATATGCCCAGGAGTGGAATAATTTGACCATATGGTAGTTCTATTTTTAGTTTTCAAAGAAACCTCCATTACTGTTTACCATAGTAGCTGCAACCAATTTATTTAATACATTCCCACCAACAGTGTAGGAGGGTTCCCTTTTCCCCACACCCTGCCCAGCATTTGTAGACTTTTTGATAATTATCCATTTCCAATTCCCCTCACCCTAGGTGAGGTGAGTCTCAGTAGTCCACCAGGGTGGGTACCCCAAACCCTCATTCCTAAGAGGTCTGAACACCTTCACAGACCACTGTTGCTACTCTTTTCTTGTCCATTCTCTGTCACAGTTGGGCAAAAGGTACCAACTGACACCCAAATAGGTCACTGGAGTGCACACAGATTCCTCCCTCCCCCTTCTAAGAATAGCCCTACTTCCTTCTGCTATCTCTGATAAGACAGTCATTTCTTATCTTACTTCTGGTCTCTCACCATCAGGAGGTCAAAGTGTCTGGTAGCCATAGTGTGCAATCCAGTGGGACATCTGCTATATCCTCAGGCAAGAATGTGCCCCTTTTAGGGACCAAGACCTCTAATTTTGCAGAGCCTGGATTTGTGAGGAACAGTGGAAGACCAGTGGGTTTGTAGAAGACCTAAACTTGACACCCCCAAAATATCTCCTTAGTAAGAGGATCATTTCCAGCTGAATGTAATTAAGATCCAAAAGACTCAGGAAGAAACTCTGACCTTCCCACAACTGGCTAAAAAAATTTCAGTTGAGGGTATGTTCTGGAATAGAGCTATCACCAGAGGTACCTGTAAAGAATCCAGGCTACGGGTGGTGGGGGAACTCTAAACAGGGCCTATAGATCAGAGTCCATTCTGTGACCCTTTGTCTCTGTGTGACCCAGCAAACATTTATTTACCAAATATTTGTTTTTCCATCTCCATGTGAATTGCCTTCCTCCCCTTTGAAGTTCCAAACCACCACCCTCAACATCCTCTTTTATCTTAAGCTAAAGATGGTATCTGAGGTGAGGGATTCAGCTATTTGGAGGAGTTACTTAGTTTTCCCAAGTCTCTTTCAAGGCATCTTCCACATATGCATGTGTGCTAAGTCACTAACTCGTGGCCCACTCTGTGTGACCCCATGGACTGCAGCCCAGCAGGCTCCTCTGTCAGTGGGATTCTCCAGGCAACAATACTGCAAGTGGGTTGCTGTACCCTCCTCCAAGGGATCTTCCCAACCCAGGGATCGAACCCAAGTCTCTTATGTCTCCTACATAAGAGGTAAAGGCAGGCATGTGCTTTACCAGTAGCACCACCTGGGAAGCCTAAATCCAACATATCCATGTTATTAAACTTTGCTTAATTTTCTTGGGGGCTTCCATGACGCTCCAATAGTTAAGACTTTGCCTTCCAATGCAGGCGATGTGGGTTCAATCCCTGGTCCAGAAGCTAAGATCCCACATGCCTTGTAGCCTACAAATGAAAATGTAAAAAGAGAAGCTATATTGTAACAAATTCAACAAAGACTTAAAACAAGCAAAAAAGTTCAATCAGTTCAGTTCAGTCCCTCAGTCACGTCCCACTCTTTGCAGCCCCGTGGACTGCAGCACACCAGGCCTCCCTGTCCACCACCACCTCCCGAAGTTTACTCAAACTCATGTCCATTGAATCAGTGATGCCATCCAACCATCTCATCCTCTGTTGTCCCCTTCTCCTCCTGCCCTCAATCCCTCCCAGCACCAGGGTCTTTTCAAATGAGCCAGCTCTTCGCATTAGGTGGCCAAAGTGTTGGAGTTTCAGCTTCAACATCAGTCCTTCCAATGAACATTCAGGACAGATCTCCTTTAGGATGGACTGGTTGGATCTCCGGGCAGTCCAAGGGACTCTCAAGAGTCTTCTCCAACACCACAGTACAAAAGCATCAAGTTTTTGGTGCTCAGCTTTATTTATAGTCCAACTCTCACATCCATACATGACTACTGGAAAAACCATAGCTTTGACAAATGGACCTTTGTTGGCAAAGTAATGTCTATGCTTTTTAATAGGAGCAAGCACCTTTTAATTTCATGTCTGCAGTCACCATCTGCAGTGATTTTGGAGCCCAAAAAAATAAAGTCTGCCACTGTTTCCACTGTTTCCCCATCTGTTTGCCATGAAGTGATGGGACCAGATGCCATGATCTTAGTTTTCTGAATGTTGAGCTTTAACCCAACGTTTTCACTCTCTTCCTTCACTTTCATCAAGAGACTCTTTAGTTCCTCTTCACTTTCTGCCATAAGGGTGGTGTCATCTGCATATCTGAGGTTACTGATGTTTCTCCCGACAATCTTGATTCCAGTTTGTGCTTCATCCAGCCCAGCATTTCTCATGATGTACTCTGCATATAAGTTAAATAAGCAGGGTGACAATATACAGCCTTGACATACTCCTTTTCCTATTTGGAACCAGTCTGCTGTTTCATGTTCAGTTCTAACTGTTGCTTCCTGACCTGCATACAGATTTCTCAAGAGGCAGGTCAGGTGGTCTGGTATTCCCATCTTTTTCGGAATTTTCCACAGTTTACTGTGATCCACACAGTCAAAGGCTTTGGTATAGTCAATAAAGCAGAAATAGATGTTTTTCTGGAACTCTCTTGCTTTTTCAATGATCCAACAGATGTTGGCAATTTGATCTCTGGTTCCTCTGCCTTTTGTAAAACCAGCTTGAACATCTGGAAGTTCATAGTGCATGTATGGTTGAAGCCTGGCTTGGAGAATTTTCAGCATTACTTTACTAGCGTGTGAGATTAGTGCAATTGTGCAATAGTTTGAGCATTCTTTGGCATTGTCTTTCTTAAGGATTGGAATGAAAACTGACCTTTTCCAGTCCTGTGGCCACTGCTGAGTCTTCCAAATTAGCTGGCATATTATTGAGTGCAGCACTTTCACAGCATAATCTTTTAGGATTTGAAATAGCTCAACTGGAATTCCATCACTTCCACTAGCTTTGTTCGTAGTGATGCTTCCTAAGGCCCACTTGGCTTTGCATTCCAGGATGTCTGGCTCTAGGTGAGTGATCACACTGTCATGATTATCTGGGTCGTGATGATCCCTTTTGTACAGTTCCTCTGTGTATTCTTGCCACCTCTTTTTAATATCTTCTGCTTCTGTTAGTTCCATACCATTTCTGTCATTTATTGAGCCCAACTTTGCATGAAATATCCCCTGGTATCTCTAATTTTCTTGAAGAGATCTCTAGTCTTTCCCATTCTATTGTTTTCCTCTATTTCTTTGCATTGATGACTGAGGAAGTCTTTCTTATCTCTCCTTGCTATTCTTTGGAACTCTGTATTCAAATGGGAATATATTTACTTTTTCTGCTTTGCTTTTCACTTCTCTTCTTTTCACAGCTATTTGTAGGTCCTCCTCAGACAGTCATTTTGCTTTTTTGCATTTCTTTTTCTTGGGGATGGTCTTGATCCCTGTCTCCTGTACAATGTCATGAACCTCCGTCCGTAGTTCCTCAGGCACTCTCTCTATCAGATCTACTCCCTTAAATCTGTTTCTCACTTCCACTGTATAATTGTAAGAGATATGGTTCAGGTCATACCTGAATGGTCTAATGGTTTCTTTACTTTCTTCAATTTAAGTCTGAATTTGGCAATAAGGAGTTCATGATCTGAGCCACAGTCAGCTCCCGGTCTTGTTTTTGCTGACTGTATAGAACTTCTCCATCTTTGGCTGCAAAGAATATAATCAATCTGATTTCGGTGTTGACCATCAGGTGATGTCCATGTGTAGTCTTCCTTGTGTTGTTGGAAGAGGGTGTTTGCTATGACCAGTGCATTCTCTTGGCAAAACTCTATTAGCCTTTGCCCTGCTTCATTTTGTACTCCAAGGCCAAATTTGCCTGTTACTCCAAGTTATATATATATATATATATATATATATATATATATATATACACACACACACATATATAAATTTTTGCTTAATTTTCTCATGAGTTTGTCTCATGTCAGTTTAATTATTAGACCAACCAGAAGAACCTAGAAGGGGAGGGGAAAGCTTTTTTCCTCCCCAGTGGGTCACTGGGATGATACTAACAGCGGTCACTCACACTTCCACCCATTGTGAAAGATACAAGTATTCTTTCTATGGTGGACACAGCACCGTGCAATGTCATCTGATCGAAGGTGTATGCTCTGATGTCCTGGAGGAAATGTCATCATGATACGGTGCAGAGCTCTGTGGGGCTCCAGTGCACAAGGCCCTTAAGCCCCTCTTTCTTTGATTATAGGAAACAGCCTTCAGTCAGCCTCCATGACCTTCCCTAAGCTCCAATGGGCAGATTCAAGCCATTGTTAATTAGGGAAGGAAGGGAATGGGAGACCAAGGAGAAGCAAACAGTCACAAGCAGCCTTGGAGCAAAGTCCTATTTCCCCATCAAA